TTTCTCGGGAAATTGAGTTAACTGAAAACCAATGTCAGAGTGTGTTTTGCTCAGCCGTCCCACTCGGGTGCTGAGTGTGATCCCCGTCACTGGGGCGCTGTTTCATTGGGAAATCTTTCACGGAACTTACTACCGCTCACCGGAATTTCACTGGAATTCACCTCCACTTCCACCGAATTTACTGCCTCAACGGGCCGCCGGGCCAAAAAACGGGATTACTTGGTCAGCCGCCGGCTATAAAACGGTACTCCACCCCCAATGAGGCAGGTTTCCCAACCCCCCCCCCAGCTGAGTTCTACTCCCTACCTAATTAGGGCAACATTGTTGGGAAATGGTACTCGACACACTTGTGTGTCGGTGCCTTTCCCTGTGTTGTTCCTTCTCTAGTCTTTCCTACCCGGGCGGTCTAAGACTAAAGTCCCGCTCCCTAGCTATTGCACGTAATTCATTTCTGCTAAGTAATCAGTAACTCTAGAGGGCTAAGTATTCACACACACACATGGACACACACATGTACATACACTTCCCTGCCCCCCGCTTTCCTTCTTACGCTTTCGGTCGTTTCTTGGGCTTTCTCTCAGGCTTTTTAGGTTGTTCTTGAGGCTCGTTTCCCTACCCCAGTCAAGGGCTAAGTATTCATTTTTCCTACACCTACCTTTCTTTCTTGCCCTCTTAGCGCTGCTCTTTCTGTCTTTCTTTTCTTTTGTTTCTAAGGCTTTTTAGGTGACTATTTAGGTTTTTCACATGCGCGCCGCGAAGCGGCACCGTGTGTGTGTCACCCCCTGTGCCAAAGGGTTCACTGCCACCGTTACCGTCACCACCATTTTCCAAAGCAGGGGCGTGTGGCCTTCTTGTCCTACCACACGCAACGAAGCTGTGGACAAGAAGGGGAAGGAGGGACTGATCATCCCTGTGTACCTGCACCTTCAACTGTTGACCAAGCTTTTCCACTCTCGATTTGATTCATGGTGGTTTCCACGATACTCCCCCCATAAACAGGTTTCCCACAGCCGCCTTTCAGCTGCCGTCCGCCGCTCGTCCGCTGCTGTCGCGAGTCTGCAGATGCGCACAAACCTTTTGTTGAAAACACCTTCAATTTGATCGGACTCTTCACCTTGCCGTTGAACCATTCCTTTTCTCGGGAAATTGAGTTAACTGAAAACCAATGTCAGAGTGTCACCACCGGTTTCCACACGTTCCAAATTAAGTCAACTTCCCTTAGGGCTTACTCAGAGGCAGGGGACCAGGCCGGATGCATCGTCGGCTGGTCAACGAAGCTGGCGACGCATCCGAGGATATGGAAATGGGACGCCATTTCCACGTACCTGCTGAAACTTTTGTTTACGCTGTGGCTCCACTCTTCCTTTTTGTTTCCATGGTGGCTCTGCAATGTTCTGCATGCTATATCCCAAAACAGGTTTCTATGCACGGCGATAACTCGATCGGCTACGTATTCAATAACTAGAATCCGCAGTCACGCAGCATGAACACTTGTTCAACATTTCAAGTGTGCTGACCGCTTCACCTTGCGTTTCCCTCATCCATTTTTTCGTGGAATAGAGGTAACTGAAAACCAATTGTCAAAGTGTGTGTGTGTGTCCTGGATTAGGCCATGGACAGTGCCATGAACTTCGGAGGTCCTAGGATTTCCACACCTTACTTTTCAGCTTCTCCACTGTCCACACATCTGACAAGACCTCCAGTCCAAGCGTGACACATGTGAGGACAGTCGCATCGCATGATGGACTTGTTTGCAGAACCTCTGTTTGCATAAATTTTTGCCATCTCTGAGGATCTGGTCTTCCAGCTGGAACTCACCACAGGTGTCGACCTCCGCCGCTGGCCCCGCCAAGCTCGCCGCGCGGCGGCCGACCCGCGCGTGCCGGCGCCGCCGGCGCCACGGCTGGCTGCGACGCCCAATGCAGAGGAACCACGGGGTGGGCAGCTTGCAAGGTTTGCAGCGAAGAAATGCGGAGATCTGTAGGATCTGTGGAGATACCGTTTCAAAGTCATGAAGTGATACAAAAAAACAACTAAAAACGCTGTTTTGGCCCGCAGGAGGTCATTGGATGGGTCCTACAAGCCATGAACAGCAACATCAACACGCTCCAGTCTCTCAGGACCGGCGTGGGAGAGTGGGTGGCGTGGCTTCTCTTGGGATTGGGGAAATGCAGGAAAGACCTATTCGAATGAAGTCAAATGCAATTGTGATCGGGACATGTATCAGATTGTATCAGTGTATCCGAATGTATCACTGATACCTTCGGATACACTGATTACAGTAGCTGGAGATGCCAAGATGTTGACGCGATGGTCAGATCCAGGCACTGTCGATCGTCCATGACCATCCATGGATCGCGGCGGGGAAGATTAACATGAGATAGATATGCTTGGCAATGCTTGGTATTGTTCGGTGAAAATCCAGGGTTTGCTCGATTGAAAAGGCATAGGGAGGGCACAGTTCTGTATTTTGCCTCCATCAGGTGGAGAGATTTGTTCAATCAATTCAGCAGCTCTTCCAAACTGTAAAAGGGAACCTCTTCAGAGTTGCTTTCATGACTCTGCAATACTTCATGTATGATTTCGTTCGAGACTCAACCCCTCATGCATGCACATGGGCCTCAGCGAAAAAGATGCCTTGCCGTTTAAAGCGACGAAGTCACGAATTCATTGGACGGCAATCGTCCGTCGATTCGTCGGCTCAGCAGTGGCTCAGGATGCCCTCATGCACTGCATCTTTGCTGCTCTACCGTCAGGTGAGCACGATGCCCATAGACGATTCGCACCATGATGTGGCCAACGGATGAAGTCACTTTTTTCCATATCGTAGTGATCGAGTGTAATGACAATGATCGCACTTGAAACCCTGAGCAAAGAACAATCGTTCCACATATGAGTCCGACTTACAATATATAGTTTAGAATATATTATAATATAGATTTATATAGTTTGGAATGTTTTTGGGACCATTTGGGACCTTGATTCACGTGCAGAAGTAAATGACACCAGGTTGGTATGTGTTGAAGAGTGTTAGTCGATTCTTTTGTTCAACACTAGTCTCGTATGACTGCCCTGCACATCCACCAGGTCAGTCATTCCCATGTCCCCGCCTTGTCTGCAGGTGGCCACCCAAAATGGGCTGGCAGATTCGGAGGAGACCCCGCAGCTGGCCATCAGTGGCAGAGGGAGGGTTTTCCAAAACATGTCATGAATATAATAAACTGTAAAGGATTGGACTTGAATTCATCACTGGTGGCACTGAGTCTTCTTTTTGCTTGAATTCGGAAACTGGTTCGTTGTAGAGCGTAACTATTCTGACGCGCTGCCGGGCCCTCGTTCGACGCGTGGACGAACTCAATTTAGACGAGCGATGACTCTGGAGCTCAAACTTTATGCCAGGGCAAACGTCTTTCCCCAAGGAAGCTCCAAAAGCATCCAAAGCTTAAACGGAAAACGGATGAACACGCCACGCCAATGAAACTGACTACCCATATTGACTGGGCTTTGATTGCAGGATAAACCCTGCTATAGCGAATGTTTCTATGAACCTGCACCAGATGTAGCTTTCCGTTCCCAGAGCTCCGGGCAACGCACGTTTGTGCAAGACCAGATCCCCAATAAAGACACCAGACATTGGCAAGATGCAGTCCAGGCATCGGTTCTGGCGAGTGTTTGCATTTAGGTGCACATGTACACCGTCCACTCTGTTTTCTGTGTTGTCAGGCCACTGCGATAACCGCGATAGCTTCCTTCTTCAGATAGCTTCCTTCTTCAAGGTTTGTAGGCATGCTTGCTCATTGCAAGTCAAAGACAACTCACAGTATCTTTTAACAAGGGAGAACCCAATGACCCGGACCTTGGGCATTTGTCATGTAATTACCAAGGCACTGGCCTTGCTACGAGCTCTCGAAAGACATCCTCAATGAGGACGTGAACACGTTTGGTGATTTGATTCCACACATGTCCTGCATGGCCAAAGCCATTGCCGTATATTCTAGATAAACTATTTCAAGTTTGTAGATGAGGTTAGCTGCTAGCGGCTGCAAGATGCTAGATGCAGGCTTTGAGGCGTTGTGAGTCTTGAATATGCGTAAGGTGGCAGAACACATGCGTAAGGTGGCAAGACTTGATTCGAGGATCAGCAGAGGTCTACAAGTGTTTCAACCAAGTTTATGTCCAGAACTTTGCGAAGCATCTCAAAGCCATCGATCAGGTCAACTAGTGTGGTGTGTTATAAGGGTAGTTGCAATTGTTCTGTGTGTAGGTTCCGCCAGTCACATGAGGTTTGTAGGGCCATACTTTTGTGCACTTGACATTCCAGCCCACAATAATCACCCTCAAAATGATTGGTGACGAATTGACACCCTTCTGCCAGCAAATCAGGTTTTGGTTCACGGATCCACGCACCTCCGCATGGGATCCACGGCGGTAGAGGCCGCACCGGACGTGCCAGGAAGGTGCCCAAGAGAATGTCTTGGCGGTGCTGGAGCGCTTGAAAGAGGCCTTTCAGGTGATGGACAGCTTGGAACAAAAGCTTCAGGCGGCTCGCAGCCGCGGCGGCTCCTGTGGAATTTGGTCAGTGCGAAGTATATGCTAGATATAATTATCTCGCGTGTGGGTGAAAACTGAAGAGCTGCTACAAGCGCTAGTTCCCGTTCTTTTCGGGGAAGGGTGGCCTGGCATCTCCTAGCATGTCAGCTAGCTGCAGGGGAACCCAGACTTCAAATGAACGAGAAGAGCGAAAGCAACGATTCAGCCTCACGATTGATTCGTCAGCTTATTTCACCAAAAGCTCCTGTCAGGGCCTGGTTGGCCGCTACTGCGACAGCATGACCTTCTCTCCTGTACCCAGTGATGCCTTGCAGGACATCCAGCGTGAAGAGAGATAATTTGGTGGTGGATGTTTGTAAGGCGGTGTAATTCAAGTGGTCATGCAATGGGGCACTTTGCTTGACTTAGTTTGGCTGTTTATGCAAACGTAACGGAACCGAGTAATGATTAGCAATGAATAGCAATGAATTATTTTTGGAGTTTTTGCATGTGCCTTTCATTCATGTCTACAACAGATACATGCTTTGTGCGGTCAAGCCTCCACCTGTCCGTCTTTGGGATGAAGTTAATTAAGATATGGTGGAAAATCCATTATGTGCAGGACTTGGACTGACTGTTCAGCACGAGCTTCTTGCAACAGTCTGACAGTGTCCCATTGCATTGGTGTCCATTAGCATTGGTGTCCTCTAGTTCCAGTTGATGCGCAACTGCAATTGGAGATGGATACATGCTCCGAGTCACCTGACTCCGTGGGTCCCGAACGTATTTTTCGGTTCAGTTTTTTTGCTGGATGAGTCTTCCAAGAGTTGGTTGGCCGACCCGGGTGACGCATCAAGGACCTTGCATCTCAGATGATCAATCTCGGGGAGATGAAGAAGCAGCTCCTTGATGTTCAGGCCTTCGGCGTTCGGCGTGTCGTGTCAGAGACCTGGGTCAGATCGTTTGTCACCCAGCGACCGACGTCGAAAGGCAATTCGATCTAGAAAGACGTCGAAACCAAAATGGCCGTGTAACAGTTCGTCGATATTTCCCTTGATCACATGTTCCTTGGGGTGGTACCAGTCATACCATGTAGGTCATTCCGGGAAATTTGAGTGCTTTTAGAGGGTTCGAGAGGTGCAGGGAAGCATGGTTGTCCCCCCTAACCTCGCCCCCTCCAAAGAAAGCAGACCACCCAGATGTGTGTTGGGCAGTGGATCACTAGGAGTCCTACCCTGTGAATGGCATTTTGCTCCTGGATTGCTTGACCCTGCAGAAGGACCGATTCGGCTGGATCGAATTTGAGATTCGGATCGAGTTGTGGCGCTGACATTGGACATTAGTACATTGGTCTGAAGCATCTTGGTCTTTGAAGCAATCTTGCACAGTAGAAATTGATAGGATGTGAATGATGTGAGTATTGAATACTTAGTTTTTGAGATGCTTTGAGCAGGGATCTTGAGAATTGTTGTTGCAGACAACAGTTCCACCAAACGAGCGCAAGAGCTTAAGCTTCAAGTGGCCTTAAAATATTTTCAGTTGATCAACTGATCAGCGCCCAAACAGGTGGTGCGGTATGAGGATTGTTGGTGTTTAGATTGGGCTTGAAAGGAGACAAACAACAGGGTACTTTTTGGAACCGTGTTCAATACCAACTTGGAAGCAGCTTCAACAGCTTGGAGTTTTCGGAAGAACATATTACTAGTATATAGGTTTATATATATATATATAGTTTATTTGAGGTTCTATCAAGCAGATGTGCTTCCAGTCAATCCTTTTTGCCTAAAAGGTTGAACATGCAAGGCAAGGCTCAGCAATCCCACACATACCAAGCAAGAATGCAAGCAAGGTTTGTAAACGTGGGCTCGACCCGCACCAGCTCTAAACAACTCTCAGAAGTCGAGATTGGTGGGCTAGTTGAGCGATGGCTACAAGTTGATCAAAGTTGATCACTTGCTAAATCAGCGTTGGAGCGCCTGTTTCTGGTCATTCTCACTGTTTCAATCACCACTGGCAAGGCTATTTGTCTCGCCTTCAACTCTTTATTAGTCCAGCCTCTATCACACATGGGGAAGTCTCTCTCCGCAGGGAAAAACCTCCGGTCCGCTGCGACCTTGTCACTGTTGCCTCGGCAGTGGGCTGTCTGCCAAGCACGGCAGCATTAAATCTCCGTAGGACCTGAATCACGGCTGGTCAGATCGACTGGATGAGCTGATCCGGAAGTCACAAGAAGAAATCGAGGAGAGGGGCAAGATGGGGCGAGGGGCTGTGAGAGACACAGTGGCAGTGGGTCATTCTTGTTCTTGGGGAGGATGGGTGTTCGGAGAATGTTTCCATATGTTTCCTTTTACAGGGGGTCCTTTTTTGGACATATTCTAACACAATCAAACACATTCTGATGTTCTGTTTCCATGTGCAGTTTGAGGACAACAGAGACTGATTGCATCACCAAAAGAGTTTCTGCAAAGGAGGGAAAGGGCATTTGCAGGCAAGCAAGTGTTAACATGTGTTAACATGTTTTGTCCACGGCCGGCTTGTGAGCCGCCTTTAATGGGTAAACATGGGTAAACCATATGAGAAACTCACTGGATTGAGAAGCACTCTTGATTTCCCCAGTTCGGGTTCTCACTTCCGGGCTTTCGCGTTCCTTCTTGGGCAGGCCGCCTCCAGGCCAGTGCAACAGTGGACTTCGGAACATCAGGGCACCATCCAGGCGCTTCCGCCCACAGAATCTCGGCTGAGAGGCGAACACGGAGCGCAGAGCTTGGTCCGACGGTCCGATGACCAAAAGCCTAAAAGCCACTTGTCACTGGAGAAGCAGTGCGTTTCCTTCAACCTATCTAGCCTATCTACTCTCTATTCGTTCACCTCTTTATATACCCCCTTAATTATATAGGTGCATGAAACCGAAGCCACTGGACCTCCACACGGCCTGAGCAAAGTGCAAAAAGTACCTCTTTGTATGTGTTGATTTGATCTTGACTTTCGTCAGACTTGTCTTGCGTTTCCACCGGAAGAGTCATTTCCGCTCCGTCAGGCCTGGTTTTGAGTGTATTGCTTTCAAAGCTACTGCAGCTACTAGTAACAAGAAGCTTTCAAACGCCTTTCAACTATAATGAATCAGTGTTTCAGTGCGTGTTTGCTCATTGGCTGCACTGCGTGGCACCTACCTATTCGCTTCTTGGTGTTGCTCTTGATGCGTACCCGGCAAAGTCACCAGTGAGCTTCTGTCACCCGTAAAGAACGTCAGATGCCTGGGGAGTCTTCACCCTCAAATCCCACAGTCTCGGTGTTTCCACGGCAAGTTCTTGGTATGGCTTCCCAAGGACATCGAAAACTTCTTGCAGTACCTGTGACCAAGCTGAATTCAGGAGATTCAACAACTCACAGGCATTTTTGGACTGTTTGACTACCTGATTCAAGGATTCAGTATGCAAGCATAGTTAGTCATGTGTTTAAAATATACTTCTTATTTTGCGTTGTGTTGTCGCAGGAAAGGGGCTCGGATGTGACGCGGACTTCTGGCTCGGATGTGACGCGAACCTATTGGCTCGGATGTGACGCGCGGTGCCCGTGTGTCCGTGTGCCCGTGTGCGCCTGTGAGTAGTAGTAGTAGTAGTAGTAGTGGTGGTAGTAGTAGTGCGTTCGTTTTTTCTATGATGTCTGTCTGTCTATCTCTTTCTCTTTGCAAAGAAAGGATGAGGGCGATGCAGCTTTGATCACAGGCCATCACTTGATGCCATCGACTCCAGAAACGAAGAGGTTCTCAGCTTCCTCGGAGCTGAACGACAACGCCTGGGCGATGGTCTGGGAGGACTTGATTGAGAGGGTCGTTGGAGGGGTCAGGTGCTACGCCTTGCAGATAGACTGACAGAAAAAATAACTATGTGTATGCTGCACTGTGAAAGAAATCCCGTCCAACCGCCGTCACGCGCTCCGTGAGCATTCCACTGCATCTGCATGCCAATAGCTGTGCTGCGCCTGATCTTCCTGTTCCTTTCTGCTCCTTCGTGCGCCTTGGCCTCCCCGTTCGTCGGGTCGGTCGGTCGCCCGCTCACTTCGTTCGTTTTTCCCTACTCGACCGCTTCGTTTCACGCGCCTTGGCTTCGCCTTCGCTTCGTTCTAGGATTCTACTTTGTTCTAGTCACTTCAGCCTTTAAGTTCTCAGCTTGTTCTACTTTGTTTTAGAATGATGATGGGGTCCAAGCTGAATTGTCGATAGAGCAACAAGGAGTCGGCCAAAATTCGGTAAAAAGGTGTTGAAGCAGCAGCTGTCTTTGATGCGCGTACTGATATTACCTAAGCCAAAATCGAAGCCAACAGTCCATTCATGGGAAGACAGCAGTGCTTTGGTCTTGTCCGAGGCAACGATGCAGAAAACGCTTGCAAGAGGTGAGCACACTCTCTTTGCCTTTCGTGTGATCGACTCCAGCACGCAGGGGATCAAAGTTCCGCCGAAAAAGGTTGATTAGGTTGATTTAAAAGGCAACTCGAATGTCGCAATGGAAGATGGTCATGCAAAGTGGGCCACATGGGAGTGTCATCGCTCGCTATGATGACGGCAAAAACGCAGAGGTGAAAAGGGGAGCACCTCGTGTGGACTTGAACCTCCCACACAGCCGGGATGAGGAAGCGCGTGCTCGTTTCCACAATGAGCTGATGATGAAATTTCGTCTGTTGCCTTTGAGCACACTCGTGGACAAGATCCGGGAAAAAAGCAACAAGAGCAAGGGGTCAGCTCCGGACAAGGAAGCTTCAGAGAAGCCTGCAGTAGAAGAGCGGCTGCAGAAGCGCCTTTGTCGTGTTGCAATGGGAGACTCGCAGTGTCTGTGAAAAACCTGTGTGCATCGTTGCGCCAAATCCTGCGCCATGCAGTATCTGTTTGATTTTTCTCAAGCAAAGAAGATGAACTAGGTAGCAATGCATTGAATAGACAGTGACCTTTGTCATTATTCAGAAGGATCGAGTCTAACTCCTTCTCCGGTCCAATCTGCAGGTTCCTGGACCTAAGTCACCCAGACAACGAAGACTTCTTGCCTACGCTGAGAAGTGGAAGCAACCAGCTGCACGTCGCGCGCGGAAGAGCCAGACATGTTTGGGTGCCTCCTGGACCTTAGTGTACCAGTACCTTCAGTTCGTGAATCCCAAAAGCGGGGCCGCAATGTATGTTGAATATGATGTTGCTTTTAAATGAGAATTTGGCAGCCCCAGGCACGGTGATTTTTGCGTGCAGGGCTCACCTCTTTGCTTGGCCTTAGTCGATCGATCGAGGTGCTGACTCACAAGATTGAGGCTTTGCGGCGCCATTTTCTCCGTGCCTCCCAACACCGATTTGTCACCAACCAATTGCTACCAACCACTTGTCACCAACCAATTGTCATCAACCAATTGTCAGCAACCACACCCACCAATTGTCACCATACTTGTCATCAACCAATTGCGACCAACCAATGTCACCAACCAATTGCAACCAACCAATTGGCACCAACCAATTGCGACCAACCAATTGCCACCAACTTGTTGCCACCCACCAATTAGGAGTAGGAGTAGTAGTGCCACCTGTCCGTGTGTGCCCGTGTGCCTGTGAGTAGTAGTAGGAGTAGTAGTAGGAGTAGTAGTAGTAGTGGTAGTAGTAGTAGTAGTGGTGTTGGTGGTGGTGGTAGTAGTGGTAGTGGTAGTGGTAGTGTTAGTGGTAGTGATAGTGCTAGTGGTGGTGGTGGTAGTGGTAGTGGTAGTAGTAGTGGTAGTAGTAGTAGTAGTAGTAGTAGTAATATTAATAGTAGTAGTAGTTTTGGTGTCGCAAATGAGATCCTTGCCGTTGTCACACCCTCCCATACTCTCCCGGGACTTTGGAAACAGCACATAGAAGTGATCGACGTGCAAGTGAACAGCCGAGACTTTCACACATTTGAGTTCCAGATCGTTTTGGTATGTTTTAGCAAAGCACATTGGTGGAAAATGGTTATGGCAAGCTGACCGCATCACCTTCAGACATGCGCAAGCTAGCAGCAATACTTGATGATGTCCTTCCTTATTTTTGCTAGACTCATCTACCAGAGATCGCCATCGCAAATAGATTTGCCCTTTTATTAAGTTTTTTGGTCGGTGTTTTCTCGCTAAACGATCTACTGACCCCGGCCCAGGCTTCGTGTTCAGAGGATTCAATTGGACTTCCCCCAACACCAGAAGCAGGCGGCGGAAAGGGCTACATATAATATATATATATATAAACTACATACATACGTGTTTTTTTCCGGTAGATGATGGTTAAGCGAATTTGCAATCAGGAAACCATCAAACCATGGACCTGGAGGTTGATGATGAAACAATTTGCTTTTGTTTTCCAGCTTTCGGGGCCTGCTAGACACCGCCATTGGGGCGATGAATTCGACATGCTTGGGCCGGGTGGCGAGTGGCGGTTTTGGAAGTGCAGGCGACCAACCAGCTAGCAGCTGGTCATTTAGCATTGTTGACAGGCTTCTTTCACACACCTTTAGTGGTTTCAGATTGAAGCTACAATGCATTTCAGACAAACTGCTACAGCTGTTTCCACAGTGTTTATAGATAGAGCACCACTTCGTAACGCGCTCAAACATAACACAGGCTAGCATTGAAAAACATGTTCATTGTGTTACATGCTCCTAGGTGCACGAGTACAAGTGGAAACCTTGATCTGACTGAGGTTTCCTAGCTTAGTTTTCAAGAGTTTTCATACTACAATCATCTACAACCTATTAACTCGAGAGCCTTGGCACACCTTAACGTAGCATCAAGAATCCAACAACTTTCATTTTTGCCCTTCTTGTTAGTCTTGAGTAGTCTTTTTGGCAAACTATAGATTTAACGAAGGACTACAGTGAGCTGATGAGTTGCAACTACTGCCTGACTCAACCTGAGATTCTCACCTAGCGCCGGGCCCCAGAAGGCACTTCGATAGAAGATCACTTTGAATATGAGCACGGAGCATGGGACAGGAATCCAATCCCATTTAGTTGATGAAGAAGATGTAGGTCTATGCTTTCCTTCAACTACAAAACCACGTCACCACCAATTGAGTATTCTCCCCAAATTGACCGTTTGTTATGTGTTGCTTCATCCCAAGGGACGGAACGTGCAGGTGCAGCAGATGCAACACCTGGAGCTGCTGTTGCACCAGATAGGCAGGGCTCCGCGGTGCTCCTGACGGACCGGGAGACCGCAGCGGTGGGTGACCGGCGGCCCGGTGGCTTCAAAAAGGAAAGACACCTGTGTCACAGTGGACACAGAATGGTAAGTAGGGTCGGATACAGAAACACCTTTGAAGAGTGTAGATTGTGGGAATGACATGTCGTGTCATCCCATGAGAAAGCAGATTTGGCCATGTAACACGGAGGTCAGGTCACTGTCTCCTTTGTTTACTTGTTTGATTTTGTTTGTTTCAATTGGTATCCATGGTCAATGGTCGAGCCATATCAAGCCACAGAGTCCAGGTTCTTTGCATCAGGCACACGGACCTTGGTCTTGAGCTGCAATGCAGGCGGAGTGTTGGATTCCTTCTACACCGATATGATTGTCCATTCGAAGGAGTGGTGTTGCATCAAGCCTGAGGTTGCCTTATGAGACAAAGTCGTGCCGTTTGTTTAACCCTTGACCTAGTTGGCGCATGATGTTGCAGAATTCTACAGCAATTTATAGACTTACGACTTACGACCCCACAATGCTCAAACCTAACTTACTGTACTTGGTCGAGGGCATTCGCTTCCACCCTCCCTTCACTTTGCCACTGACACGGTACCTTTTCCTTTTTGGAACAGGAGCGGACCACCGATTTCAAGAGGGAGTTGACCAAGAGCCTCGAGAGAATCGAGGCAGAGAACAGCTGGCAGAGCATGAGCAGGAGCATGCATGATCAGCAAAGAAAAGACGGTGTTTCTTGCTGAGGTTGTTCACATTTGTGCACAGTGTTTGATGTATTATTTGTCCACTAGTGGCTTGCTGAGCCCTTCCTCACCTGATAAGGGGGACAAAGAAAGCATGAATGGGATCTTTGCATCGAGCCTGAATCCTTGAGGAGGATGCATTTTTCCAGACTTCATATTCTGTCATATGCTTTTAAAGATTGGGTTTGATGCAAACTCAAACAACCCCCCAAAGCCAAACCTTGAAGGTCAGACAACAGCTACAATCGAAGTGTTTCTGTCAACTCGTTGGGATGTCTTCAGTGAAGTGGCTGCCAGGTATCCTCGAAGCGTTTCATTGAAGCCTTGCAACAGCAGAAGCCTACAATCTTGCAGACGCTTGGAAGTTGATTTCTGTGGCCTCGTTTTCTTGGCCCAGACTCTAAGGCCACCATTGTTAGGCCACTTTGTAGATCCTTGCTTGATTTGAGCCGGGAAGCCAGGAACCACAAATACAGAAAGGCATATAAAGGAATCATGAAATACAAGGCCTGCTGCACTTCCCTCAGTCAGTAGATGAATTTGGTACAAGGCCCTGCCTTTACCGACATTTCCAGGATGTGATGATGTGGTCATGTGGTGGTGAACGTTTCCAGGGAACCTTTTGGTAAAAAGATCCAGTGAATTTGTCGTTTGATCCATTTCCACCCGATCCATTTGTTGGTTCCCTCGTTGGAGTGAGACCATGTCCCCATTCAGTGCTGCCATGCATTCTGTCCACGTGTCACGTAAGGAAGTTGCAGCTGTTCATCCAGAGTCTGCAAGATCCAGCGCTACAGACGCTTCAGAGCGACACCTTTGGAGAACTCGAGGCAACCACGGTGCAGTGTCGGTGTGTGTTTTCCGGGGGATTCAGCTTCGGTGCAGCTTCGTTGGTTTCCACAGTCTCCTTCTTTTTCTGGGCGATGGACGTTCTTTTTGTTGGACAAGTACCTAGCACGTCGCAGCAGAAAAGCAAAGGGAGAGTTGGATTGGTTTGAGGAAGGAACAATTTTGGTTCGCACTATCCCCCATGGTCAATCCGTTCCGTGTGTCACCAATGTCCCTCTTTGGAAGAATTTGGTTGTGATCACCAAAAGACCCTATGACATCTATGACCTATCCTACTTGTTACGTTCGTAGCTTCTTGCTACGTTCGCAGATAGTGTCCTTGTGACGTTCGTAGCGATGCATTTGTTACCTACCCTACCCTCCTCAGATGGATCGGTGCATGTTGGGACCTCCTGGCTCGGACGCGCTGGCCACGGGAAGCACCGATGTGGCTGGCTGTGGTTCGCTTAACCACCGGGGGGAACACCCCAGTTGACCATTGTCGAATGAACAGATTTCTCTATAAGAGATGTCAACCTCCCATGGTTTGGTGGGGTAGATTTTGACTTACAGCCATGTTTTGCAGACTGCAAGCAAGAACTCTCCTTCAAACCAGACTCTCCAGGCGGATGACATGGCTCCCAGCAAGGCGCGACATGAAATCTTCGCCGGCGCTGTTGATGTTAGAACATCTAGTGATTGGATACTGTCGGCCTTGACGTTTCTCAGCACAATTTCGCTGCTCTGGGCGAGTTATTGATCAACGCAGGCAACATTCAATGTACTTACTCTCGCTGGTAAAGTTACTGGTGACCAGGTGCGTTTAGATCTCAAGACTCAAGACAGACCCTCAAACTCACTTGCTTGAGAGGAACGGCTCATTTTTGAATGAACTATGCCAACTTCAGTGAGTACCGACCTTAGTTGCTTGATCTACAGGCCTTGCTGATGGCCGAGCACCGTGGGGAGGAGCTGAAGTTCTCCTTCCAGGACCAGCCAGCAGTGCGCGTGGACGGGCGGATCGGACGTGGACTCTGTTTGGTGGGGCATCCCAGCTGATGCGATGTGTGCAGTGGTGTAGAGCACTCGTCTTCTGCTTTGACCCCCCCAAAGCTTGTAATATTTTGTGGTCCAACACAGGGGGTGATCATAATCTCGCCAATGTTTCTCAGAGTCTATTGTAGAATATTGTAGAATCAACTTCGCACCTTCCCATGGCCTCATTATGGACTTATTTACCCCTGCGGATTGTTCCGCCGGCCTTTTGGCTGAGGGGAGGGGGGTGAAAGAGTGACTAGGGCGTACACGGTAGAGGTGCAGACCGCTAGTGTCTTTTATGCGCAGAGTCTTATCCTCTTGCTCTTTGAGCCTTGAAGCAGTCAAGCATGGACACACTATATCGGCTGTTGGAGTGGAACCCTGTACAGGTAGGCTCTACTTTTCAGCAGGCACAAGATTCATGTCCACTCCTAGCTGATTGCGTATGTCGCATACTCTTTTTCTACTGCAAGGCTAAAACAGTCCAGCTAGCTCTGACAACTTAAAAGAAAACTACGGTGCCATGTACTTACCTAATCCAGTGTGTTTCACACTTAGAGAAGGTAATCTCATAGCTACTAAATACAGTGAGGGAGCAATAGCTGACTCACCTCAAGTACAAAATCAAAACGATAATGTACCTCGGCTGGAGACTGTACTTTTCGCAGGCGAAGATACCATGTACCGGCGCTCACTAGCTCTTTAGGGCCTGAGCTAAATCAAACTAAAAGGGAAAGCGGCTTTTTCTCTACAGAGACCTATAAAAGAATCAAACGACACTCGCGTAACAAGGAACTAAAAATTCAAGACCGCACAAATGCAAATAATTAAAATGCCTTGCAAAATGCAAGGAGCGTACGGTCCGAGGAATAATCTTCTCGTGACGTGGTCTCGACCGCTTTCATCCACAGACAAAATAAAACTGCATCAAAAGGACTCTCTTTCACATTCACATCAAAAACACAAGAAGGAGATACCGGCAAATGTATGTACAAAAAAAATCCTGCACTACAATTGCAAATCTTGAAATGACTTAATCATCAACCATGACTGGTTGTCCATTAGAGGTCACTTCATAAGAGCGGTGGTGATAGATATCATCAGTTATGTAAAACTGTCCATATCTACCTGCTAAAGTTTAAAACTTCAGCCCGGCAACTTAAAGTCAAGCTTGGAAGCAAAGTATCAACTGTAACCAGAAGTATCTTCACTTCCTAGCCATCATTTAAATTTCAGCCTTCGCTCAGGAATTATGCCGCTGCAGACGATGAAGCTGCTTGATCAGAAGTTGGCGGCCTTCCTTTCCTTTTATTCTGCTTCTGTTTCTCCTTCCTCCGCAAGTTCGCCTCATAAAGAGTTGCTCCCATGCGATACTGTCTTCTGTCTCCAGATGAAAAGGAAGCTGGTCTGAGTGAAATAAACATTGGACCATGACTGCCCTCGTCAGAGGGTCTTGAGCACATAACCTCCGTGTCAATCATAGCAAAGTTCTCTGAAAAATTACAGATGAACTCCTTCGTGCTCACTGTGGAATTTTCATATTCCTCTTCACTCATTGAATGACCCCATTCAACAATGGTAGACAAACATGTATCGCCAAGCTGTGATCCTTGGTATTCTTCTTTTTCAACAGTAGAATATTCTTCCCAGAGTTTATCAAAGTAAACTTCACACTTCTTGAGGACCTGTGAAGTTGAACTGTAAAATGTTCTGGGAATAGGTGCTTTGATACCAGGATCTGCTTTTACACGAGCTTCTGAAAACCTGCGGATCCAATGCTGCATGGTGCTGTAATAGTAGTTAGCCATTGGCTGCCTGTTGTACCCAGACATTCTGTAGGCCAAACTATTTGCATCACCAGAAATGATGTCCACCTCATAGACAAAACACTCGTAAAGCATCAATGCTGTCTGTTCTCCTGTCAGTAGGTGGGCATCCACAGCAGTGTGTATCAACATGATAATTACAGACTCTGATGGTATGCATGTTCGCTCGAGTAAGTGGAACACGCTTGTCCTCAGGACCATAGTCATCAAATTCAAAGTCTGCATCCTTGAAATCTTGACGAGGCCTTGTTTCTCCAAAACAAATCTCGTAGATAGCCCAAGTTACATCACGCTGTTCACAGTGACCAAGTTCTTGATCATGTCCAGCAATGATCTTGACATATCCACCTGGTGCCAATCTAGCCATCACTGCAAGATTCTCCCAATCATTGAAACAAACTGTCCAATTCTTTTGCTCAATAAATTCCTTGGCAGGAACAAGAAGATGAGCTTCCTGGAGAATCACGACATGTGCACGTAAAAAGAAGAGCATGTTGAAGAAAAGGTTGTTCTCAAATTGCTCATTCTGAAGTGACATGGCGCTCTGTTTGCGTGGCCTCATTGCACTATCAAGTCCTTGGAGAAACCTTGGTGTGGTGTACTTCTGACCACGAACCATGTTGCCATAGTTCCAGGATAAAAATGTCAAGGACTCTGAGCTGGCCAATAAGTTAGTTCCATATGGTTCTTCTATTCTTCCCTTGAGGAACCTTCTGCACAGCTCTTCATAGAAGGTGACAAAGTCCCAACTGGGTCCCTTGGGACCATATGATTCCAGTTCCTTCTTGAGTTCCTTCTTCGTCTCCTCCAATTCTTCTCGAGCATGTCCTGCCCTTTCAAGGGCCTTTGGATCGACCTGATACTTGCCATCCAAATGAATGATGCGATCATCATTGATAAAGAATCTCTTCAAATCATGCTCTGGTTCATGTTCATAACAATCAGGTGGAGGTACTGGACAGATATTACGAATGGATCGAACAAAATCATTCTCATTGATCCTTGACTGATAATGAGGATGGGAAATCTCACCTTTTCTGAAACAAACATGATTCAGCAATCTTGCGTGAGTTTCCCTGAAGCATTGTTGATAAAGGCCAATACCTGGATCTCCTGTAAGCTCTCCAAGCAACTTCAAAGGTGAAGTATGCAACTCATAGGTATTGTCAACTTTTGTTGTATCCCTTTCAACAACTACTTCAGATGGAAAAGATTCCTGGATTTCCGCCTCCAATTTCTTCTCTCCATCATCCTCTCTGACCTCTTTTATTTTCTCCACCGCCTCTTTCTTCTCTTCCATTGTTGCATCATCCTGAACTTCTTCATGAAAATGAGGATCAGGTATTTTATTCAGGCGGCTTTTCTTAGATTTCGGCAGACGTGGAGTATCATCAAGGTTAGCATCCATCTCACCTGATGGTAAGTGCGATGCAGCCGAGTCCTCACCTATCTCTCTTGACAGAAAGTGTGGCGTTGACTCCTCCTTGGCTTCCTCCTGGTCCACTTCCATCCTTGGTTCCTCTGAAGGAAAAACACCTGCCTTCTCGTCAAATATTTCTTCTTCCTTTTCAGGTTCAACTGCAGGATCTTCTTCAGGAACTTCCTCTTCCATATTCTCATCTTCTAGAAGTGTCCTACTTCCAGTATAGATTTCACCAGCGATAGTGGAGACTCTTGTATAAGGAGGAACTTCTTCACCTGCTTCAAAAGCTTGTTCTGCAACATCCTTGGTGAGCAAGTCCTCTACAAGATTCTCTCCCTCGGTTCTTGGAAGAGGTCCTGAGGTCTCATAAAAATCTGTCCTCTCTGAACTGAAAGCTTCTGTCGCCTTCTCATTGTCCTTTTGATCCCTGAACAGGTGAGTAATCTTCACAGCTTCTCCCTGTAGCACCTGATCACCTCCTCTATACTTGTCGACAATGGAGCGCCATACTGGAACATCATCATCATCAAAATCAAGCTCCATATCATCTGCCAACAGGTATGAGATGTTTTGAGCTGCCTGTTCTTCTTCTTCATCACGTTCTTTGGCAAGCTCCTCATCCTTCTGGATCTTGAAGATACCCTTCAGGATGTCTTGTAGTACCTTTAAGTTCAGCTTCGATGATGGCTCATACGTCCCTGAACTTACAGGCTCAACTACAACACGAGAGCAAGAAATCGCCTCCAAAAACTTGGAATTGTATTGGCGTTCAAACTCTTCCTTCTTGATCATCTCATACAAGGGATCAGAAACTGCAACACGCGCCTGAACATACTCACGAAGTTGATAGCATGCATGTTGCACAAATCTACTGTTGGAGTTGTGAAGAAAACTCTCTAAATGATTCCTGTCACGGTCAATCAAGTACCACACAATTCTTGCAGAAAAACGGAATTTCTTGAAGTTCATAGCAAAATGTGTATGATACTTCTCTGGATTCCTTTCTGCTTGTAAGGCGGCCTCTGAAGTCTTGTAAGCTGGGAGATTTGTGTCTGGATCCAAGATCATAAACTCTTCCCACAAGATCGAGTGGTCAAGAACCCACTTGGGAAGCACCTTGATGAAAAAGTCACAAACAAGTTCTGACACAAGGTGCATGACACGACCAGTCTCTTCCTCCTGCTTGAAGCGATAGTGCAATTTGGCAAATAAAGGATTGTTGAATGCTTCCTCCACTGTGTTGCCAAAATTATCCCACTGAGGTTCTGGAATACCAAAGTTCCAACCCAGCAATTTGGGATCTCTGCACAGATCCAAGAAGCTTGAAAGTTCTATGGATTGAATACCATGGTCTGTCAGAATTTCAGCCCAGCGGCGTCCATTCTCCCAAGCACGGATGAAGAAAAACTGTTGGTATCCAGTTTGTGCCAACTCCATCCACTGTGAAATTCCGGGTTCAAAACTCGGTGCATACGTCTTGGGGTCTTCCTCTGTTCCATAAACACTTGGACGTAGCAACTTGTACCTTCTACAAAAATATTCTCTCTGGTGCCTTGTCAACCTGTCCCAATCCCTCACTAGAATCACGTCTTCTCCAGTGCTCTGGAGTACACGTGTTCCTACGCGATCATGGAGTGATACCATGCCAATGTCATATACCATCCATGGGTTGAGAACCAGGTTGTTGACATTCTGAATGAACC